CCCCCATCCATTGGCTACTTATTTCTAATCGAGAGTATTCGAGAGTGTGCTCAAACTTGTCTAATTTTAGCTGTTCCAAAAATAGCATGTAACTCGCCTGACATTGTTCTATTTAATGCTAAATATAGAGCCAGAGAGCTTTATCTTTTAAAGTTATTACAGCCTAAATTTATTTAGACTTTCGCATTAATAATTATGAGTCAATGTCCATTAGGGAAAAATTCTTTAACGATAGTTGGCTTTACATTAAATGTTAGTACACATGCAGGTGCAGGTTGACCCACCAAGTAATAGTAAATACAGATTGTTTACAAGTAAGGTCGCCACATTTGTTGAATGAAAGGATCATGTTTCAATTTGTCCCTTTTCAAATCTGTCAATGAAACTTACGAGTGCATAAGATTTTATTCAGCACCCCCCACCCCCACCCCTGTGTAAATAGCTTATATTTATGGAGTGATAGGTAGCGTTCTATAATCAAGGTCTTAATCATTACATAATCCAGACCTTTATTATCGTCCTTTAGTGTTCCATAATCTACTGGTCTATGGGCGTGTATAGCCACTGCTTATTTAATGCAACGTCTTTGCTTTTCAATTATTCACGTGTATACTTGAAATGTCTTACGGATGGTTCAATCTGGTGTTCAGCTCTTATTTACCGTTCTGACATTTACTGTTCAATAAATCAGATGTCAAGAGTATCATTTAAATAGAAACATTCCTAGCCCTGGGCTTCAGCGGTGTCTCATTTAATACCAAATCTCGTGTAACTACGCGTGTCGTCACACTAAAACAATAAATAGTGATATAAATAGCACCTTTATGTGCAAGTAATAAATCTATTGATTTTTATTTTTCATTTTTATTAATATGATTCGCTTAAATAATGAGATATTTTTCATTTTTTTTTTCAAATAATAATTTACAACTATATCATATTATACATTCATGTTGTTAATTACTAATTATACATATTTGTTAGTCATTGAAGTGTGTTCATTAAAATCTAATAATTTAAGATATGCAACTAAAAGTCGAAGTAAACAATCTAAGTCAAGGGTATGCTTACCATAAAGACTGTCACAGAAGGCGGAAAAAAACAACAAATGACTTGTCAACAAGGCTCGTGTATCCAGGAATGTGAAGGAGAAATTCTAGCTAAAACCAAGG